TCTTGCTCAGAAGTGCACCGCCATGCATAGTCTGCCTCTGTTTTCCTTCTTTTACTCCTCTGGAGGCTGCAAAACCTCTGGATTGCTTCTCTGGATACTGGAAGACATCACCGGCCGAGTGGGATTACCACCGGCAGTGATATATAGCTACCGGCCATTGGTGAAGCTATCGGCAGAGATAGGAGTGCCGGTCGGCACTTGGCATTGCCGGTCGGCAGAGTGTTCCTGCAGAATCTGCAATTGACAGTAACAGAGGGCAAGGTAGAGCATGGCAGCACAATTCAAGGCATATATGCACCAATCATGTCCCTTATCATGTTTGTGACTCGAAGGGACATACTCCTTGGTTCTCGGACCATCAATCGTGCATTTCCATGTGTGATGGTCCAAGTGACCAAGTGTGCACATTTTGATGTTAAGTGTAATGCAAACCAACAAACCAAAGGGGTCCAATCCCTATCACTAAATCAAGGGACAAGACATGCATGTTCAATGCAACCTAGGCATGTTAGCTAGGGATGCAACATGGCAATGCAAGCAAGCAAGCAATGAACAAGCATACAAGCTAATGGTCATGCAAGACATGGTGCAATCAAAGCATGCGAAGTATGAGACATGTAACAACATGTAAAGATTGGACTTAAACATGATTTGGGCGGCTCTAAAAAGGGCCAAAACAGTGGCCAAAAGTCAAGGAATTGGAATCAAACATACATACACACATGCAAGTAAGTTGGATCAACACTTAGGCACAAATGCTCAAGCCTCAAAGGGCTACTTCTAAGCACATTTGAAGGAGGCAATCATGGGGATATGGCATGCAAGGTAAGCATTGAAACTCATGTTAGAATGGGGTCAAACCAAGCAAACAAAATAGACCAAGCATGCAATGGATGGCCCAAGTACTTGAAGCAAGTCAAAGAGACTTGAACCATGGCTAAGCCAACCAAGCCTCACAAGGCTAAGAGGACTTAAAATAGGTTCAAGACAGTCCTAGACCATGCAAAAGGGACTCTTAGATGGCATCTAAGTGGCTCAAATTCAAAAGCATGCACAAGTGCCAAAACATGGAGCATGCTACACAAGCTTTCAAAGCATTAAGGAAACATCCAAGGCAAACATACAAGCATGCTATAAGGTCTGAAATGACATGGTGGATAGTTCCAAACCAGTAAATCAATGCAAGAATGCCATGCTATACATTCATACACTTAAGGCCAACAAGCCGGAATGCAAAGGAGCTATACTAAGCATGCCAAATCCGACCCAAACAACCTAGGACAGACCTTAAACATGGCAAAATGAGCACAAAACCTTCACAAGGCTAAGCCTAAAACATGCTAGAACAAAGGCTAACAACCTAAGGCATATTAAGGCAATAACATGGCATTACATGGTAGGTATGCTAAGCATGCATGGTGTACCAAAACCAACACACAACAAGGTTATATCATGGCATAATAAGCATGAAAAACAGCCAAGATATGATCAATACACACTCTAACATGATGCTCTCTCAAGAGGCCAAAAAGGGTCCATTTCAAGGACAACAAGGAGAGGGGGTGGCCCTCCCCTTTTGGAAACTTCAAGGCACCATCTCCACCACTGAAATCCCTCACGATTTCAGTGGTGAAGAGGCCCAAACACCAAAGTCTCGAAACTCACTCAAAATGGCTCAAAATGGGGCCTTTCAAGGCCTAAGAGGGGTCAAACACCTCCAAACCACAAAACACTCTTAATAAACAATCAATAGGGTTAAAAAACAGAACTTTTTTGTATTATACACCAAGCTCAAAAACGATTTTAAGAGAGGTAAAAATATAATACAAAAATGGGGAATATAAAGGTAGGATTGTTACCCTTGTTGACTTTCTTCAAAGATGAAGCTCCAACAGCTCCTTCTAGGACATGAATGTGGGTTATCACAGTCTCCCCTCCTTTGAAAAAACTCAAAATATGAAACATCAACACCATTAGTAGCCTTCACATATAATATATATATATTTTTGATGACCGGGTATTCGGGTCAGCTTATGCGCATATCGACTAATTCCGGAACCCACGCAAAACGTCCCTTTCACGTGGATCAGGCATAACCCACGGGTGTGGTCTCAAGGAGCAGATTGCTCCTAAAGGGAGTTGAACCTGAGACCTAGAGGGAGCACACCCCTAGG